ACTCTTTTTTTTTTTTTTTTTTTTTCTTCGAAATATGTAGGACTATAATCCAGATACCTTCACTCACACTTGTGGGAGGAATACATAGAGAAGATGTACATCAAGTCAATTATTCTTGATGGTTTTAAATCCTATGCTCACAGGACGGAGATTCGTGACTTTGACCCATTATTCAATGCCATTACTGGCTTAAATGGTAGTGGCAAGTCTAATGTCTTGGACGCAATCTGTTTCCTGCTGGGAATTTCCAGTTTGTCACAGGTAAATAGAGAGGAGACATTTAAGAAAGGTCTTTCTTCTATTAGCAATGTTTCTTCTTACTCTCCTGAGTAACCTCCAGTGGAAGACCTGAAGTGGTGCTTCTATCAAAAAAAAAAAAAAGGTTTATCTATGTGAATTTTTTTTGTTACATAAAACTGGATCTTTGTCATTCTTGCTCGTTCTTACATTAAGATTGAAAAACAGTTTCATCAGTATACTACAGTAGCTAAAAGTATGCAGCTTAGAACGTTAGATTTAAAATACCTACTGAAGAGGCAGCAGCCTTAAGCCTTTTGCAGCTAAAGGCGCTAGCTTGTCTACTTGTAATAAACATTTCCCAGATGGGTTGGGTCTTAAAATTTGGCCAACTGGGTCAGCAGAAAAATAATTAAAAAGCTGGTTTCTCTGCAATGCCTGTTATTTAAAAGATAAAAATATCAGCTTTACTCTTAACAAAAGAAAGAAACAAACAAAAATATACTGACATCAGTTTGAATCTCTTGTCTTCAGGAGATTTTTTTTTAACCCCGCCCCAATTGTAGGCAAAACCATGAGACTTCCAAGGATACTTTCTGATTAATTTTTATGCAAACTGCATTATAATAAATGCTCTTTATGTACTGGTGACTGAACTAGTTATTTGGCTCTTTTTTTTTTTTAAATATCTGTCGTTCTTGTCAGGAATCTCATGCAGAAACAATTAGCTCGCTCATTCTGCCTGTGTTTTTTTAACTAGCACCTTGCAGCTCTGATATGTCAGTCTCACATGAGCTCCTAAATCTACAGAGAGCTCTGCATTTTTTTTTTGTTAGTTTCTCCAAAACCTACATTAGCACACTGAAGCTGTGTAATAAATTTCTTTAAAAAATGTATTTGTCTGGTCCATGGATTTAGGTGCGAGCTTCAAACTTGCAAGATCTAGTTTATAAAAATGGGCAGGCTGGAGTTACTAGAGCAACTGTGTCTATTACCTTTGATAATTCTGACAAGAAACAAAGTCCACTGGGATTTGAAGATAATGATGAGATCACCATCACTAGGCAGGTGAGTATGTAGTATTTGTATTGCTTAGTAGCTTGTACACATTTTTACCATGGTCAACAGAGTGACTTTTCAAGAGGAAAAACAAAAAAGGTTATTTTTGAAGTCACTCAGCTCTTGCAATTGAGGCAATGCTTTGATTGTGTACTTAGTAACACAAACTGTAGAAATAGATCCAATGTACTAGATAACTAATTTCCCAAGTAATTTTTTAAAGATATTGTTAATTGTACTATATCAATAATGTTTTCTATGGACTTGCACAGAAACAATAATAATAATAAAAAAGTTCCTAAAGCAAGTTATAATTTTCTATTTTGTGTCTTTTTGTTCTACTTTCGTATATTGCTCTTAATAATACCTGAACTGTGTGTTATATTTGGTTTCCAAGGAAAAAGGAAACTTTAGCGTTCTGATGAAGGCATTTCCCAAGTTAAAAAAAAAAAATGAGAACTTGTGGAGTTTGGAAACTTTCTTGTCAATATTGCCACCAATGACTGAGCTTTCATATGTTGTGGCTAGATATTTTAGAAATCTAGCCAATCCAACAAGACCTTTTTTGTTCTGTATGGTATGCTTATATATGTGCATGCAAAGAAAAAATATATGGGGTTTGCTTATATTTTTTGATTCTTTATTACAGTTTATATTCTCATAATGTCAAGTCATATTTAAATTACTTAAAGTTTCTTCCATTTATTTTTTTTCTCCAGATTGTCGTTGGAGGTAGAAATAAGTATCTTATCAATGGTGTGAATGCTACCAGCAGTCGAATTCAGGATCTGTTCTGCTCTGTTGGTCTCAATATTAATAACCCTCACTTCCTCATTATGCAGGTGTGTGCACATCTTTATAAAGTCCAAAAAGAACAGAAGTTGCACTAAATTTGAGGCCAGATAGGTAGTGGAAGAACACTATATTTCCTAGTCAAAGAAAAGTAACTTCCCATTAAGTAAAAATCAAATGCCTTTCAAGTAGTTAAGATTTCCAGTACAGCATAGTTTGACCTTAGCATGTAACCTTCATGTTGCATGCTTTTTCTAAACACATTCCAGTTTTATTTTCCTTTTTGTCCCTTTAACAGATAGGTGCTGCTTTTATTATTATGCTAAAAAGATAGGGTTTTTTTCCTGTTATATGTGTTCCATATGAGACAATATTTTGAATGACATGATATATCTGTCTTCTTAATTGACAACTAAAAATTGGAAAGACCCTTATAAGCCTCAGGACAGGGACTAGACAAATCTCTGATAGATTTTCAGGGAATGATAACACAGAGTAGGATTTACAGTCCCAGCTTGGGGAGCGGGGGAGTTTTGCACCTATACTTCCCTTCAGTTATATATGAGCAAAGTCTCCAAAAAGCTAGTTTATAATTTTGAGTTTATTCAACAGCAGCAACTCAGTAACTCACTCTAGAGCAAAATATACACATTACACCGTTAAGATGCGATCAGGAATGTGACAGGCAAGCCTAAGCTAAGATATAAGGGCATTTAAAGGTTGCTGAAGAAGTGACTTCTTTGAATTTTCACAAAGAAGACAGCGAAGTAAACTAGGTTATCCTTGTAGGAGGAAAAAAAAAAACCACACCAAACCTACCCAACAAATGTGTTTGAACTTATAACATATAAAAATGAGTGTTTTTTTTTTTTTTTATTTGGGATTTTGTTTGTTTTACTATTGCACACAAACACCTTATCTTATTTTATCTTTCTGTCATCAGGGGCAAATTACCAAAGTTCTAAATATGAAGCCATCAGAGGTAAGAAAGTTGTGGAATTTTTTTGTCTGAAGTTTTGCTTATTTGCTTTCAATTACAAGAATCAGTATGTTGAGAGGGAGACAACGGGAAAAGCAAAAATGGTGGAGGGAGGTGAGATGTTCAGCTGGGTTCTGGGTTGAACCTATCTAACATAAGAAAAAGCATCAATTTTTTGCCACATTGCTTTACTTTAGATTTTAGCTATGGTTGAAGAAGCAGCTGGTACTAGGATGTATGAATGCAAGAAAGTATCCGTCCAGAAAACCATAGAGAAGAAGGAAGCCAAACTGAAAGACATTCAAAAGGTACTGCTTATTGGAAAGTATACTTTCTTTTATATTTGTTAAAGATAACTAGTGGAGTGTGTTTTTTAACTTGTAGAATACTTAATTCTGTACCTGGAACTAGCTATTCATGCTTAGACATATAAGAATTTTAAAAATCAGAATATAAATGTTCTGGTTTGTGTTTCAGGTCCTAGATGAGGATATAACACCAACTTTAGAGAAACTGAGAGAGGTATGGAATGTGGGGACAAGGAAAAAACCGAAAACAAGATAAGAACATATCTTACTTATTAAAACACGTGTCAAGTGACATTTCTAATGTTATCTAAAATTTTGTTAAGCAGTCCTGCAATGTACAGTTCCAATGACATTGCTTCACATGGAGAATCATTCCTTTTATCTATGAATAATAATGTTAGTAGAATTACTTAGAAGATTTCTGAAACAGTCCTACTTTTATGCTTTTCCATCTGGTGTCCTTTCAGGATCGATCATTCTACCTAGAATACCAAAAAATAATGCGAACAGTGGAACACGCAGAGCGCCTCTGTATAGCTTATGAGTTTGTTCTGGCTGAAAAGACAAAGGCATCCTCTGATGAAGTACTAAAGGAAATGCAGGATTCTGTAGAGGAGCTTCAGGAATCAATGGCTAAAAATGAGAAGCTGGTGAGGCTACTTGATAAAGAAATGGCAGAGCTGGAGAAGAAAAGGAGTAAGGTGAGAACAGTGATGCTTGTCTGAGTACCTGAATACATGGAGTTATGTGAGAAGGGAATTATTCACCCAGATAGTATACACTTGAATTTTTATCTTCTGGTGGGTTTGGATCATACATTTCTCATTTTCATTCTTAGCTGTTTTCAAAAAGACATCCATTTAAAGTTTTCTTTTGTCTGAAATGCTTTATTTCCAATTGGTGTAAACGAATAATAACTGAAGAGTAGAAACTGTTTTCCCTCAGGTTTCCACTCTGTAGATTCAATGGTAAACTATTCCAGAGATATTTTTTTTTCTGTTTTGTTGATGTCTCAAAAGAAATACACTTGAAGTAGAAAGCATTTGTTCAATGGCAATATCTACCTTAGTTCAGGGGCCAGTAACTTCGGTTTGGTACAGGGTGGCCCATAGAGCCTTTGGATGCAGCTGTTGAACAGGGACAGTGTCCTGTGGAGGGGATGATGTGGGTCTTCAGTAGTGGCTTCAAGTTAGTTTGGATTTCAGAGGGAAGAGATATTCTGACCTGTTTGCACTGGAGTATAACTGTCTGCTTGATGAGATATTTCTCTCTTCTACATATAGTTGTGAAAAGGAGATGAAATATAATGAATAGTCTTTCAGCTTCTTAGGGTAAATTAAATTTCCTCTACTTCTGATTGTAGGAAGTTGGCGGTAGGCTCCATTCACTGGAAGCTGCCCTTTTAGAAATTCAAAGAGATAATACTAGAGCACAAAGTACCCTTGCTCTCAAGAAACAAAACTTAAAAGATGAAGAGATTAAGTACAAAGAAGTGATAAAAAGTATGCAGGAGGTAAGACCTTTGTATATAATTTTATTTAAACAGTAAAATAATTCAGATTGAGGGGGACAGTTGGTTTTTCTTACCTATTATGGTAAGAAAAATCCCATGATTGTCAAGAATTACATCAGGAAAGCAGAAACAAATGGTAAGGGTGTTGTTTGATTTGTGTGGCATAGGTGGTAGGTTCCCATTAAAAACAAATGTGATGTATATATGAAGAAAGTGCAACCCTTTATGGTTGCCCACCTTCTGTTAGCTCAAGAGAGGTCACAGAATCATAGAATTATTCTGGTTGGAAAAGACCTTCAATATCATCAAGTCCCACCATTAACCCAGCGCTGCCAGGTCACCAGTAGACCATGTTGCTAACCACCACATCTACATGTGGTGAATTGTTCAGTGGGTAAGAAACTGTCTGGACAGCTGCACCCAAAGAGTGGTGGTCAATGGCTCGATGTCT